TATATATATATAGTAAAACTGCTAGATTTCCCAGTAGACTGTCTTCTGATGTAGTCAAGAATTTTTTTAAGTATTTTGATATTTTAGAAAGTTTCCTATGATATATATTAAAAGTGAAATTAGAGACAGTGCATGTAGCATACTACTAAAACAAAAAATAAATAAAATCACTCAACAGCTTAATTTCAAAATAAATTTACAAGCAAAAACAACTGACCAGTGTTGAATTGCTTAATTTTTTTTTAAATCTATTTTAATTTAAAAGTATGAATTCTAAAACATATAAAACATTTTTTAGCCTATTTAAATTTCTATTTGCTTGATATATATATTTTTTTCTTTTATATTTCAGTGACTAAATAAATCCCTAATATTCTCTGAGTTTAAAATATTTTAGATATCATGCAATTGATAGCATGTATACAAAATAGAACTAACATCCAAATTTAAATTATACTGCTTTTTAAAAAGAAAAAGAAAAACATATGTCTTATTGAAAATTGTTTTTCATCTTTAGGAAAATCCGTTCTTCCTCTTGTGGGATTCATACTTGGAGGTGCTTTTGCCTTTGTGATTGTTGTTATCGTTCTGTCAGTTTTTGTTAACAGGTAAACAATGTTGTACTACTAGTTTATGATAATACCTTTTTTGAATTTAATGTAGTTATGGTAAAGGAAACAGATTTTGAAACTAAGTTTTTTTTTTAATACGTTTTTAGGTGTCGCAAAGAAGTGATATCGAGGAAAAATATAAACATCAAACTTCCTTTGGAATTGGAAACTCCATTTGGTGTAAGTATGAGCATTTCATAAAAATATCAAATCTGCAAATTGTGCACAAATAAATCAACTGTGGAAACCACTTCAAATGTTAAAAGAAATAAGCAATTAACAGCAACAAAAAACATTATAGTTGATATAAGATTAATGATTTCATCACATACTTAAGTAGTAGCTTCAGACACTTACTTCTATTATTTCACTCAAATGATGAATAGGACTCAGAGCATAAGGATTATGATGACATTAAAACAATCCATAAAACTCAGAATGGCCGTAATTATAAGACACTTGAGGCCTGTTTACATGGTCAAAGTACTTGAATCCAAGAATGTAGAGAAATTTCTTTCTCCAAGAAATTGGATGATTCGTTGACACTATCCAAGATCTTGATTGCCACTGATTGGTCGGATGAAAAACCTGTGCATGCGCATTGTTAATCTTCAACATTATAAAACCCGATTTACAAGAATTTAAAGATACTAAATAAATTCTAGTAAAATCATAATACAGTACAGAACCCGTTATCCGGAAATCAGAAAACCAAAAAACCGGAACGAAATTCGATACATTTTCCCGCCATTTTTTTTTTTTTTCCTCATAAGATTTTAGGATTTTTCTTTCTTTTTTGAAAGATGTTGTTTACCTTACCATCATTTTGGAAATAATCATTAGTGTATTACTCCATCGTTTTTTCTTCTTTTTAAGATTTATTCCACAAAAAAATTATTTTTTTAGTTGGGTTTAACAATAAAAAAAAACGGCTTTTTGTAGCGATTCAGAAAACCGGAAAAATCAGTTATCCGGAATAGCGATGGTCCCGATCGTTCCGGATAATCAATTCCCTACTGTAACATAACTAGACCCTAACAGGTTAATTTATTCGGATTAAAATATATGCCTGCTTGTTGACGTTGCAAATCTTTAGAAGCGGATTGGTTAAGGGAGGAAAAACTTGGATAGAAAATAGAACATGCTCTACTATCATTCAAGGACTTGGATGAACGTTTACAAGCTCCAAGCAAAACAAGTTTCCATCAATTTCAATCAATCTTTGTCCAAGAACTTGGATCGCATAAACAGGCCTTTACAATGAAGACACATATTAACAGGAAACACACTATTAGAATAAGAGTACATAATAGCGAATATCACTAAGCATAAACAGTGTAATACAGGTGACCACTCTGTTTTTCTTTCATGTAATTTACATAATGTCAACCCCTGCACCCCCTGACCAAGTTGTAAACTAAATTATGATTACGTCTGATTAAAAAAATATGTGAATCTCAAACTATGATACGATATGCCACAGCATTTGATAACTTCGCTCTCTTGTGGTGAACCTTATGTTCACTCAAACATGTGTAAATAAATCATTGAATGTAAATAACAGGTAGGAATTTAGCTAATAATGTCCATAGATCAGCGCAAGTAGCGTCGATCGACATAACGTTACAAATTTGCTTAAGATAAACGGATCAATTAATTAATCCTAAAGAAAAATTACTAATGAAAAAAAGTTTCCCTGTATTTTTTGAAAGCTATTTGAAACCATATGTTTATTTTGTTTCCAGGTATTGCTATGAACTCTGTGAAATTCTATGTATAACAGTGTAATTAAAACCGCTACAAATTATGCAAATTATTTTTTTTATCATATAAATTAATAAAGAGGAATATTTATTTTGTGAAGGAAATTATTAGATTCAAGAGAAAGGTTTGTCTAATAATGTCATTTCAGCATAGCTGCCAACTGTCCTGAATTTTTCGGATTTGTTCCTAATTTTTAAATCAAATCTGAAAATCTGATATTTTTATAAAAATTCCGAATTTTCGTAAAATTGCAGTATTTTTGCTTTTAAACCAATCCCTTGCTGATCGCCGCAATCGTGATTATTGCGTAGAAGTAATTTTTAGTATCTTTTTATTGGGAAATACTATTTCAATAGCTGTTACTGATCATTTCACTAAATTGAATCTTAAACAACTATTATTATTTTTTTTAAAAATGTTTTGTAGTATTTAAACATTTGCATCAGAAATATTTGTTTATGATGTAGTTTAATATTTACCTGCATTTTATAATTTGGAGAAGAATAATTATATATTAATAGGTAATGTTTTTTTTTTTTAACTATTTTACCGGTATTCCTAATTATAAAATATTAATATTATAAATTTCCCACAAAAGATAGTGTATATCATTTTTTTTTTACTAATTTACATAAGGTATTTAAATGTATTATGTCTATTAATGTTATTATTTAATAGTTAAATTTTTGTCTTACTCTCGTAATTGGTGCATATAATTTTGTCGCATATATAGTGTTCCTAATTTGGCAGCTATTTTTCAGCATATAGTAAAAGTGTGAATTTGAAATACTAAAATCTAAAATCATCATTTAAATCATTAAATTGTTTAATAAAATGAACTATTCTCAACAAATTATGTAAATTTGTATTTTTTATTTATTTTTGTTGTTTAGAATTCTTTGAACTCTTTCAAACTTAAAAATGGCCTTCAAAAGACTGCACCTGATTCTTCCATACCATGTGATCGAGCCTACGAGCGACTCTGCACCTTCGCTCAGGAAGGGAGTCAATGTGATCCTGATGGAGTAAGAATTATTTATTCTGCACATTTAAAAAAATCCCCTCAATAATGCTAATCATCTTAATTTCCTTTATGTATAAATTGGGTAAATGTGAGATTTCATCACTCATTCCTGGGAAGATTTTTCAAGTTATTTATCTTTTTTCTTTACTTGTTTTCCAATTTTTTTTCTCCAAAGGCTGTGACTGCTAAAAAAGTTTAGAAAGTTCAGATTTAAATATTTTGTTAAAACCATTAAATCACAAGAGAAATCAATAAGAATTATATTTTACTAAATTTAGATTAAATTTCTGATTTTCATAAGGTAAAATTATACATTTCTCAGTTTTTAAATTTGATCTAGTAATTGATTTCCAGGATGCTGAAAAATTATTTTACCATTAATTGCTCAAATACAAAAATAGTTTTTTAAAAAAATTAAGAGAATCTAAAATCCAGCATGCTTTATCTCATAAATTCTGATTGGGTAGCAGCTTTGTATTTAACATGTTTAGAAATATACTGCCAACTAGAGTAAATATTCACCATCAGTTTATTTGCAAAAATCAAATAAGGAGGATTAAAATCATATTTATACTATTCCAAACCTGTCTCCACCCTATTGACAGTTAAATTCGACTGAGAGAGAAAAGCTTCTTAAATTTTGTTATATTAAGTAAAAAAGCAGTTTTTGTATATTAATTTTAAATATTTTTTAATAGTGGGGAGAAAATGATGTTCACTCTCATAGAAACAACAGTGGGGAAAGCAACAAATCTGGAGTTTCTTCTGCAGACACTACTCGAACTGTAGTTTCGATGGATTCGAGCGTCGAACAGGAATGTGACACAGTCAATTCGGGTTCTTCCATCCCATCCCACTCAGGTGGGACAAATGCAGAGGACCTGGAACAGCTATCAGGTCCATTTACGTCACAATTTGTTAATAATACCAACATGACCTTTTCAAGATGCTTCGTACGACCGAGAATGCCTGCCAAAGGGGAGGAATTGGGAATAATGCCACCTTATTGCAAGTTTAGTGAAATTCCTTCTGCAATACAGGAAAATCAATTTTCTGAGAACCCATATCAGTCTCGTTTCTCCGCAGAGAGCTTTCTCCAAAGCTTATACAAAATAAATAGTGAGCCTTCTCTTTACGGTTATGGAGATGAGGATCTAGAAGTAGTTAGCACCCCTAACGCACCACCCTATTCTAAATTTGGTTTGGCTCGGAGCAACACCCATTTATGCGAAATGAATAGACCTAATGTTGGCTACTCTAAGTTTGGCACCATGTATAGCCCCAACGGCATTCAAAATAATGCCCAAATATTCACTGTTTTCATGCCACCTAATGGTCCATTACCTGTGTTGCCATTATCAGGTCGTGATAAGTGTCCCCTGCCCAAAAATGTTGCTACAAATCAAAACTCATTTAAAAGTACCAATGGCGCATACTCTAAATTTGGTGTTGGCAGACCAGCCTGGGAAACAGGCAAAAACTATGTTCCTGTTAAGAGTGTGCTACCCGCGAATGCAGATGTCAAATCGACAGACAATTCTTCGCCTAAATACACTGCATCTGATGTTGCTTATCCTAGTCAGACTAATAATCAGCCGCAAGAAACGTTGGAAATGGATGACGATCCTCGTAGTTTGTTAGAGGTAATGGCTGCAGACGAAAGGTTTGCAGCACCCTCGGTGAAAACTGTGCAAAATCTGCCAATCGCTTGCAATGGCATCCTGCCCGATGCAGGACCCATAAGTGAACTTGGATCAGTTCCAATTGCCAATGGTGTTGATGACACGAATCACAAGTTTGACGATTCTTGGAAATATTTTAATGGAGATGCACCACCCATTATGCCATTAAGGGTTGACGATTATGAGGAACCAGAATCTTATAGTCCTCCAAAAACACCAGACAATAGAGAGATATCAACTGCTAATAACAATTATATCTTGCTCAGTGAGCTTGCAAAGCAGAAACTACTCTCTGTGAATTCTATACAATGTAACAATTTAACAGACACACCTGTTGCCAGTGTATGATAAATATTTGTATGTTACCAATATCTGTCATCATATAAATGTTACCAGTGTATAGTAACTAATATCTGTCATCATATACATGTTACGGATGCATGATAACAGTTACTTGTATATTATCCAGATACAGTTTATCAAGCAGCTGTTACTTTTGTATGATGAGATATTTGTATAATATGATATACTGTTCATTTGCACTTGTTACTGGTGTATGATAACAGGCATTTGTATTTTACCAGATACTGTTTATCCTGCCAAAAGAAAGAATATTTAATTATATTTCTGCTGCACTGGTTTAAAGTTGCAAAACAATTACATTTAAAACCAAATTGAAATTTTGTTTCTGCAAAAAATTGTAAAAAGTTTTTTTTCCTGTATAAATGTCTCAAAAAAAACCCAATATGATAGCTGTATATTTGTTAATTTAATAATGAGGTATATATATATATATTTGTGAAAATATTTTATGGACTTGAATTTTTGTTTACTCATTACATTTTAAAAATAATCTTTGCTTGTTGAACTGCAAGGAGCGTTTCTGCTTCTTTTGTTTATTATATTTAAAAAAAACTTCTTTTTTTTTTTAAATAATTGATGATTAAAATCTGACAAATTTTTTAAATTAATTCTTCAATTCAAATTTTTTTTAAAATTTTGTAATAACAATTTCTGATATACGTAAAAGAAAATGACATCATGTTTTTACCTAGTATATATATATTTATTTATAATTTCTAATTGATTTTATATAAAATTGAGAAGTATAAAATTGATTTTTATGTTACTTTTCTTCAGGTTTCACATTATAATGGAAATTTATTTATAAAATATTATTACACCTTTTTTTTAAAAAAAAAAAATATGTTTCCATAAATGATTATAAATAACCTAAGTGAAATTGATGTAATAATATGTTCAATTTAATGCCCAAATTATGCATATCAACTTATATTTTATCAAAACGCATTTCATGAAAGTTAACTATCATTTTAGTTTTAAATAACTGTATTTTAACGTAATTTATTTAGCTAAATTTTCAGTTCCTATCCATTTAATTTTTACATTCTATTTATTAACTTTTTTTTCGTCTTTTCAAAACAATTTATTCTACTCAAATTACATTTTGCCTGCCATAAATGTACCTTATTTAAATATTTAAAAAAAAAATATTTCTTGCTTTTTATTGGTATATTTTACTTTTTTCATTATTCATATATTCAGCGTTATGAAGAAGAAGAAAAAATTCGCTAACTTTTTATTACATTGTTTTCATTTTGACAGTTATATTAAAATTATAAATTTTATTTATAATAAATTATTATTATAAAAATAATATCAAATAAAATTTCTTTTAACCTTCTTCGTAAGTAGACTTTATGTTTCTTATTTTTATTTTTCAATAACAACAAAATAAATTTTTACTTGCTTTTTAAAGTTTAATCTGCTTGTTATGAAAAATTTGCAAGTACAAATATTTTGAACTTTTCTTTTCAACCCTAACTATTGAGGGAATGATTTCAAATATTGAAGACTATTTCTTATAGAAAAATATCATTTATATAATATTGTACAGATGATCAATGAAACACAAATAAATCGAAGAAATTTGTGTTGTATAATAATTGCTCATTATTGTTTGTGTAATTTTTGTTCCAATGGATGGATTCAGTATTGTGTGTTTCAAATCTAATTTTATGTATTTTTATTTGCCAACAATCAAGTAACAAAAGTGGCTTTTGATGATGCTTTTTAAAAGAAAAAATTATTTAAAAAAAAAATGAAATGAAAGTATAGTTGCACTTTCTTGTTTCTATGCTGTGTATTAAAGCTTCAAAGTAAATAATGAGTTAAATGATTTACTTAAGTTAATTTTCATGATTGTCTCTTTGTTGGTTTTTGCAAATTAGCAAAGCACTTTCCTGTTTCTATATCATATATTGTGATTCTGGAGAGAATAAAAAAAAGTGTTAATTTCACAATCTCATTTATTTCTGTTAAAAATTACTTTTACTATTAGATGTGCAGTAAAGTGTAACTTTCTACTAAAAGCTTTACTTAGAATTATGAACAGCAAGTGGCAGTTCTTTATATAACAGTACTGTGTGAGGAATATTTTCTTAAAATTCAACAAAATCTATAAAGTTGTTAAAAACTGAGGTAATTTGGTAAAACTTTTAGATTTTGAGTGACTTTCAACTAGTGTAATTTAATAAAATATTGAAATTTTATCTGCCTATCACCGACATCAACAATTTTAGATGAGCGGTGAATGTTTGTGCTGGTCTTTCAAGCTGCTCCGTAAAATCTACTTGAAAACAAGTCTTGCATGTATGCTATCATATGCTGCACTTAAATACTTTTGCATTTATTTCTAAGTTGATTTTTTGTCCCTTAATGTTACATTTTACTCTTTTTGTTGTATCTCATTTTATTTATTATTTTATACAAGAAATTTTCCTTTTATATCTTAAATAAATGTTCACTGACTATTAGTGTAAATAAGATTTCTGCAAAATATTTATGTTTGTATTATTTATTCAGAAAAAAAAGAAAGAAAAATATATTTCCTAGTTCGTAGATTGGAAACATATGATACTGAATCTTTAACCATTTGTTTTGTGCAGTGAGAAATATTCAAATTGTGATATAGACCTTTTGTTTCAGTGTTTAGTAAAAATTAAACCTAAAAGCAGTTTATTTATTAAATTTTTTAAGCTATTTTTTAGATATATATGTACAGAAAGCAAATGTTGATTTATGGAGATATTTATATCAGTGTTTTTACTGCACCAGCGTTTCCAGTTTTTAAGTATCTATAGTAACTATAATGAAAAGAGTCTATATTGCCTCGTAAAAAACTTGGTCTACCTCATAAGGTAAAAATCATTTGTTTGCTCAAAATGATCAAGATAGATATTCTTTTCATGGAAAGAAAAGTTCTATTAATTCTTGCCATTATGCTACACAAAGAACTGAACTCTTGGTATTTTGTAAATTTTAATCTTAAAACTGTTTTTCTGATTGTTCTTTTGTCATATGTAATAACATCAACTCATTTTAGCGACATACTAGGCTGTTTTTATTTCATCTAATTTCATAATATTCCTCATGTTAGGTTAAGTTTTGTCCTCCTATAACCAGGTCCCTTATGCTATAATGAAAATGAATAAAAGCCACAGCTCTGAGAAAAGTTAGTCTTTTAAATTTAATTTTTTAATAATTAAAAAAATTACATTAAAATAGTATTGCTAAAGCTTATGTAAAACATGAAGAAAATATAGAACAATTCAATAATTTTTATCCAACATATTGGAGAAAAAAATTTAATAATTATTTGAAAATGTAAACTATTTCGTCTATTTTAATGTCCGGGCAATTTTTTTATAAGATAAGAATATGTAATTTGAAGTTAATATCTTCAAGTTTAAGGCTCTTAAAACTGCCTTTTTTTTATTTTTCATGGCAAATAAAAGCTTAGAAAAACATCCTGAATTTTTCTAAATTGTCTTGTTAAAATTGATGTCCACTTTGATATTTCTTTCTTATCAAAAAAGAAAAAAGGGCAATACAAATTATCTTAAAAATTATTTTTTCTTAAGGAGGAAATGTTATAACAATTATTTCTGATAATTTGAATAATGTTTTATTTTGCAATAGTTTGCCTTATAACTTCTACAATAATGGTGTTTGTTATATTTTTAAAAAATATGGATCAGGTCATAAATTGGCAAATAGCTGTTTCATATTTACTTAATGTACTCTCACACCCAAAATATGATTTTTTTCGTACTAGTTATCAGAAATAACTTTTAATGTATTATTATCTAACTAATTCCTAAATTTAAGTAAGTTCCTATAAAAAAACTCTTAAAAAAGAAAGTTTACATAATTTATTGCTTATTTGAATATTTAAATTATATTACATAATTAAGCGAGCTTCAAGAATATTATTCGGCTTATAGTTTTTCTTTTCTAAAATTTTTAGTTTATTTTTATTCAGAACTCCTTTTTTAAATTAATAAAAAAATCTTCTAGCTATCAATAATAAGTTATTTGTCTATTACAATTAAAAATAAGTTGACATAATAAAAAGTATTTCAAATTTAAACTCATTTAATGTCAATCGTAAATGTAAAATATTACAGACCATTTATAGTTATAAGTGTAATCAAGTTTTTGTATTTTGATGACAATAAAAATTCCTAAAATTCCCTACATGTAAAATATTGAATGTATCATGAAAGAGTTATCAAAAAATTTATACTATTTCGTAAAGTCTACTGGATTTTTTTCTTTGCAGCTATGTGTTGTAATGGATTGTTGTTGTGGCCATTATAATTTTTTTTTTTAAAAAGTGGCAAAAGAATTTGCATAAAGCCCATGGTATTTTATATTAGCTTCTTCCTAATTTATCATGCAATTAAAATAATTTACCACTACTAATTTTTGTCCCACTAGCTAACCACAGATAGGCAGTTATTTTTATTAAAAAGCTGTAGCTAATCTATTATTGTTTGATAAAAATCACTATACATAGAAATTACATCACCTCAGCTGTGTACATATAACCACTTCTTAGATATTGAATGCTTGTATAAAGATTTTTTGACATTTTTTTTCCGTATAAGTATGAAATATATAACATTTTCTTTAATAAATTTCAGTTTTTAAGTAAAATCAGTAGTTAAGGAAAATCCCTCCAGATACTGCTATTTATTGCCATTGAATACAATTAAAAAAAATTTGAATCACTTCTGTAATCGTGTACAATTTTAAGGTCTATTAAATTTGAATGTTTCTATATGTATGTTTGTTAAACATTAGTGCCATTTTATGACATTGCATGTATAAAGTACACAACATCTATACACATGTTTTTTATTTGTATTGAGTTTTTTTTTATGTGTATTTTAACTGTCTTCATTTATGTTTTCATTTGTTTGTACGAAATCTGACACAAGGATGTATGTTATTTTTTTTCAAAGGCCAAAATAAAATATTGTTTTAAATACTCGGCTAGCAGAATTTCTTCTACTATATATAAATATAGCATTTCCGCTACAGCCAATAGAATCTTGAAGATTAATGCTCTGGCAATGTGGTAAGCCCTGTGCACCAGCCACGTTTACTTCCCAGACCAGCTTGGTGGGCTTCCAGCCACCATTAGAAAATAAAACTCCAGTATTTTCATAAGACAGCTCAATATCTTCACCACTAAACCATCAAAGCTCTCATACAATATGTATAAGTTTTTATGATCGAAAGAAAATTTAAGTGTAATTAAATGTATAATGATGACATTTTATTAACTCTGTAAAGGGCTAGTGCACAGAATCCTTTATGTAAGGTAATCACAGAAAAAATAAAAGACAAAAAAATTTTTTTAAATAAAAACAAATAGTATAAAGACATAACTTTTTTAACAACCTACGTCTTCACTGCTATTTGATATTGTGTATAATATCGCTAAAGCCAAATAAATCAATACTTGCAAAAATATATCTACTTTGTTTTGTAATGTGATTATCTTTTATATATATATATAGTGTCCAGATTATTTGCTGCACGCTTTTATTTAAAAATAATCCCTGGTTTCAAATTGCAAAATTTGAAAGCTCTAAATTAGAGACTGCCCACTTATTGCATACATGGTTCTAGCATATAGTGTTACAGGAGGATTCATTATTTCAACTCTTTGAGAATTTAAATCATTTTATGGGGATCATGCAATTATTTGTTATTTTCAGCAAATGCAATGTCAAATCTTGTTGAGTGGAGTTTTCTTTAGTTTTATAATTGTGAATGTCTCCTTGGCTTGATTTTAAAAAACGATATATTCCAATCAACAATGTCAAAGAGTTATTATGTGAGAATTGTGGGGTCATCTACTAAATTACTTCTGATCAAAAATGTTAAGAGATATGTTGGCTATTTTTTTTTGCTTCAAAATTTGTTGAAAGCCTACTATGAAAATATTTTATCATAGAAATCTTTGGCTCACTGCAAAGTATGCATTGGTGCAATTTTTATGAAAACAAGTGCCTTAGTTCACAAACCAGCAGGCACAGTATTTATAAATGCTCTTTTACTTCAGTTCAGCTTATTTAGGGTGTAATTAAATTTTAGCTATATTTTTAAATAATTTTGCAATTATGTACAAAATAAAAGCTTACTTTTGTTATGATTTATAATTTAAATTTTTAAAAACTTTCATTAAATACAGTAATTTAAAATAGGAACTTCTGTTTATTTTGCTTGCAGGCTGTAATTGATTTTAAAGGGCTTAACGAATTTTAAAGCACTCAAAATCTTAAAACATTTGTTTAAAATAATATAATCGGTATTAAATCAATTTTACTCTTTTTTTAACTGATTGTCACAAATGGGCTGCATGCAGGTAATGGACAGAAAACACTCGAATAATAAAATAAATACATTAACTATAGACATGCCTGTGAGTATCCTTGACAAGATCAAATACAAACTACACTAATGTGATTACTTCAAATGCATCAACAAAAAAAAAGACGACAAAATTTTCAAGTTATTTTTCTCTACAACTTCATTAATTGAAAGGTACAACATCAAGAATTTTTTACAGATTTAGATATACAGTCAGACCTCGATATAAGGTCACCCTAAGGGACAACGCAAAAGTGACCTTTTAACCGATTCATTAGCAGTTCATAACTAGGCACGTAAATAGTGCACATTATGATTTTTTAAAAATGGTAATACAAACGATCAGCCGTAAATTAAATATTTAAGTCAATAAATTTTAACAGAATTAGTAAAGAATTAAAAAAAGTTGGATTTAAGTTTTTTATTTAAAATAAAGTCATTTACAAATTTCCTCAAAGTGTACATACATACATTACATATTACCTAATTTAAAATAATCATTCATGCAGGTCTGTCTCGTTCTTGGTTTCATTTTTCGAATTTCTAGATTTTGTAACTTATCAAAATGCTTCTCAGGTACATGGTTTGTAAAAAAATTTAGTGTCACATTTATTGCATTGAAGGCTTTCCTTTGGATTACAGCTACAGTGTTAAGATCACTGGCATTGTCCACAACTTGTGAAACAAATTCAGAAATTGTAGCTTCAGAAGTGGTGGCAATTTCCTCATCAATCAAACCATTTTCAGCCTCCCCTTCAATGGCATGGCCACGATTTTTCAAATCTTCCATCAGAACTTATAGAGGAATATCGTCCTCTTCGGTTTCGTCATGCACGATATTCAGAGAAATCACAAAACCAGCAGGACGAAAACAATTTGCTATGCATAAGGTGGACACCATGTTACGCCTCAGATAAAAATGGCCTTATAAGCGATAACGATTTTTTAAGTTTGACCATATATCCAATAATCTGTAACAAAGAATTCCTATTCAGTGAGCCGGGACTTTGAAAAAGTGACCTTATATCGAGGTCTGACTGTATATTATTGCCTTGCCACAATTCACAAATTTCCATAAGGATGAGAGTGAAATATGTTATTTATTACCATTTTAGTTGGGGGAATTACTAGATGGAGTAATTGCATGGTTGAAACTAATATATATGCGTAGAAGTTTCATGTACCACAATGACTTTTTGCAATGCAGCATCCACCTGCATTACAAATATAAGAAGACACTGGTGCCAAGGGAATATTTTCCCTCAGACACGTTCAGCACTAAACCATAGGAAAAATCAATATTTTTGAAGCTCTTCTCAGTTGTCAAGTTATTTAGGGATACAACTTTTCCTAAACAGTATGTTGTTGATATGTATTTATAATAAAAAATAATAATAATCAATTAAACAGCTGATGAACGTAAATAAACTTTAATATAACATTCTAGATTACAATTAATTTCTAGCACTACCAAAATAATTACAAGAAATCTCCACTCTTGAATATGAACAATATTTACAAAAATTTAAAACACACAGCAAGACATTAAGGAGACATTTCAAATTACAACAGTCTTTACCAAGTGTGAAAAAAATTCAGTGCTGGATTACAATTTAATTTTCAATGCAGGCCCCAGCTTGGGTCTAAAATTACTAAGCTATGTATTATCATCATTTTTTTTTTACAACTTTGCAAAACAAGTTTAAAAAGTATTTAGTTCAACTACTAGTAATTAGCTACGAAATAACCATCGAAAAAAAAAGTAATTTAACTCGTAGCTACTTTATTTTTTAACGGAAGTCCTAAGTGAATGGTAAAGTATGATCAACACATATGGGGTGAAAAATAAAAGGCCATTCTCCCTAGATGCTATTTTTCCTGCAAATGGGAACCTAACAAGTGAGTTTTTCCCAGGAAAAATATTTTCAACCGATCCAGTCCTCAGTTGCATACAAAAAAAATCACATCCAGTGAGAATGGTCTTTATAACTTTAGCACAAATAAATAAGACTTTAATGAGTACAAGGACAATAAAATCGTTATGAACAGAAATAACATATTCAAAATTTAAACTCTAATTTTCCATTGTTATACATAAAACATCACAAAGTCATTTTGGAAAATGTTATATCACAAAATTTCTTTCAAAACAATAGTTGACTTTCTAGTAGGATTTTAAGCCAGCACACAGAGCTAAAAGCAATCGAGTAATGTTACATCTATTTAACTCAAACTAAAAATTATTGAAGAGAAATAAGACTGTATTAATTTGTACATAAATTTTTGACGAAGAATATAAAAATTAAAACACTGATTATGTGATGTAATTTGTGGCATTCTTTTATATTTTTTACAATGCACTATTGTAGGTATTTCTTTTACTTCGTTGAAGCGATTCTCAAACTTGTTATTTTTTTATAGTCATAGCATTAAATCAAACTAAAACAAATTTAATAAGTTTTAGATCTATATTTCAATGGCAATGAATTGAAGAAAAAAAAAGAGAAAGAAACCGCAATGGACTGACATCGGTTTGCAATACAGGAAGTAAAAAGTGAAAAAAAAACAAGGCTTCACTATAAATACAAATATAAATATATATATATATAATTAACCCCTTCATTCACAGGAAGAAAAAAAATATCAGATATACTTGTCCTAATAAAACAATTTATTAAAAAGAAAAAGTTTGAAAAATTTCTGACACAAAAGAGGAATGCATTGTATAGGTAAATTCAACAAGTTAGTTGAAGAAAGGAATACAAAAGAAAATCTGTTAACTTCAAGGTAACAGAAACCCTCCAATATGGCAGCAGGTGATGCAGATTATCACAATACCTTCAGATTATTTTTCATCTCAAATTATCCATAGAAAAAAGTAAAGAAAAATTACTTTTAAAACATCAACTCCTTTTTAAAACATCTCGAAACTTGTTTATATTAAAAATTATAAAGCAGTGTGGGAAAAAAAAAAACTGAAAGGTACGGAAAAAAAATTAATTTTTCTTCTGCTGGTTGTCTACAGGCTCATACTATATAATGATTTATTCCTCTTTTTCTTTTTAGCATAATTGTGCATTCAAAGTAAGTTGAAAGAACATGCATAATTTTTAAAAACTTGCAAATTTTTCTATGTATATCTATTAGATTAGGCTGAATTTATTATAATAATAATCTTTGACTGTGCACAGAATCACACGGAAATTAAAATTAATGAAGATAGAGCTGCGGTTTACTCCTTAAATTTTGATACTACGGTTAACTTCATGCAATTTTTTCACTAGCAAACTTAGACAAAGTTAAATTACTCTATTTCATTAAAGAGCTTAGTGTAAGAACTAATTAAATGATAATTTAGTGAATTTTTAAAAAAATCATCTCAAGTACATTTACAAACATTGTAAAACTGTTTACAAATCTTTGTATCTTAAAACTCTTCTTTTTTCAAAAAGCTTCTCGAACACAATAAATTAAAGTTTATTTTTAAAGCAAAAGATTTAAATGCTTTAAAAAATGTTCATTCATCTATTCTTACAATAAGTTCTACAATAGTAACATAATGACTATAGTTATAGAAAGATACCTTAGAATTATGATGGGAAAATGAGGCAGACGAAACTACATAAAACTTTACAATGACAATTTCAAAAGGAAAATGAACTTATAATCTTTAAAAATGTAATATAATTCACTGTAGACAATATATAATCTGAAATATAGTTGACTTTATAAATTAAACATTAGTTACAAGAGGTACAATTTATCCGAATTTATTAAAAAATTATACACATTAAAAATCATTCCATTTGCCCTCCTGAAATATTTCCTCTACAAACTTATTCCCAATTTTGAGTAACTTCAGTCTAGACTTTTCTATCAATAAACACCAACCTTTTTACGTAACATCAAATCTGTAAAAGAGAAAATTAAACTATTTAATAATTTTACTTGCAATATTTATTAATGAAATATTCTTCTAATTTTTACATTCTTATCATTATTCAAGAAGATAACACTGGAGAACAGTTGCATTTATATAAGTACGTAATCGTATCAAATTTGGGTAAGGGGATTTCTGACCTAAAATTAGTTAATGTTCTGATAGCTACATACTTTTTTCACGAAATGGTATTTTTAGTTTTGTCTCAATGTTCAAGAATAAAGAATATATAAGTTTATATACATACAAATACACTTGTTTGCTCTTTTGAAAATAATACTCAATATGCAAGAATGACCTAAACATATTAATATTAAATCATAAACTGAAATGTATCATCACATTTTACTTACCACCCCCTATGTGGCAGAGAAGTGGAGTGAGTCGAGTAAAGTGGTGGTTCATACGAGAGAATTTTTAAAAAATATTGCTAGGATTATTGAATTATATAAAAACTGTATGGAGAGAATTATGTAGAGAGTAACCTTTGCCATTATTGAAATGTTTCTCCAAATGATTTTGACAGTTCTGTTACTTTGGCGGAGATAGCCTGATTAGTAGGATACTAGGTCCATGTTCAAGAGGTCGTGGGTTTGATCCCCGCCGGCCGAAGATTCCCCGTGTAGTAAATGATGATTGATGCATGTTAAATCTGTTGAGTCACAAAGTCCTCCAAGTTCCCATAACAAGTCAAACCTCTGGGGGTACTGATCCAGGAGTTTCCTTGTCTTCTGGAATGGGTTCAAAATTACAAGGATACGGAGTTTAACATTAGCAGTCGTAAACCCAAAAAATTGGGTCGGCTGTTCGAGTTGGTTATAAAATAAAATAAAATTCTGTTACTTTAACTACAATGTTCTTATGACACACGAGTCAAATCGATCAATTATATAATCACTTTTTGATACAATTTATGTGTGTATACAGTGCACTCCCGATTATCCGGGTTAATCACCGGGACAGGTCACACAGACAATCGAAAAACACAGATAATCCTAAAACTCCTTTTGTTAAAGAAAAATTAGATATCAGTACAAAAAATAGATAAAATACTGACATTTGCATGCATAACATCAAACTAGGAACTTTCCTTTTTAAAAAATGTGTAATGCGTCTTCGCCATATATCGATACACATATTTTACGAACCGCAGTAATGTTACCGTAATCAAATCCTCCCATATAATCTAATAAAGCTTCCACAGAGCAGTAGAATGAGAAATTGTATTTCATTCATTTACTACATCTTCTGCATCAGTTATTATCATCACTATTTGATTTAACAACATAACGATGTCTTCATCAGTCAAATACTGGAAGCCAGGCTAACATGCATCATTTTGAAACCAATCTTCTAAATTTTCTTCATCAAGAATTTTGAAACCTTAGATTTCTTTTGCTTGTTCAAGAATACTGTTATCATATTTTACTTGAACATCTGAAGAGGATTGTTCATCAAGCGGTATGATCTTTCTCCAAGATCGTGATAGCGTAGATGATTTTACCTTTGACCATGTTGCTGATATTCCATATACTGCAATCCAATAACGAATATTGCTTCCAAAAATTTGGTAGTGTTATAACTTCATGAATCAAATTTTTTAAATCTTGAAAATGTTTCTCTTTACATTTTTTGTGTGACTCCGGAATGAGCACGGTTAATCCACAAACCCGATATTCCGCACACGGACAATCGAGAGTGTACTGTATTTCATAGTAAATATAAGTTTCTTTTCTGTCTTTTTTTTCACCAGTTAACACCATACATTCGATCCAAACATTTCCTGATATTTTAATACAATGTTATCAGTGTCCTCCATAAGCATTTTCAAAAGAGCAGCATCCCTTAGATCCCTATGAATGCACCCTCCTTGCAATTTTTTGTGAAAATAAGCCATCCCTTAAAAACACTGCCTTCTTTTTTTTTTTATTTATTTATTTTTTTTTTTTAGGAGAAAGTAGCTTTCTTAACTAGATGAAATGTCACTTCCCATTTATTTAGTTATTGATAATTATTAAACTTTAATTTTATTCCTTCATTCTTTAAAGATTTTTCTTATGTTATCCAGTTATATACTTAAAATTAATATGATGAGCTATCTGCATAAGTTTTTCTCTTTCTATAATTTGGATTAAATTTTTTTGAAAATATTTGTACAATTAGATCAGATTCTTAACCAGAGTTACGATTTCTCTTGGAAAAAGTATATGTTTTTTTTTCCAAAAAACTGAAAAGAACAGAAAGTAATCAAACTCCAAAAATGACCAGTACAATTGTTTAGCCCGTATAAGCTTAAATGAAAACATATAAAATTTTATATAGTAAAAGAAAGTTGAAAGCTTCCCTTCATATATAGGAAAAAAAGAAAAAAACTTTATTCTTATTTTACTTTTATCCGAAATGAAAATCTATTTACCAATATCTTAATTTTTAATGGATTAAGTCTTATTTTTATAAATAAATATGTACTCTTACATATAATAAATTATGTGTTGCTAGTTTACTTATTCCATTTAAAAAAATTAATGCACTGTTTAGATAATAGTTTATACACTGGAAAAATTATATTAATTAGGTATTAGGAATAAACTAAATAATTAATTCTGATAACTTATCAATATTTACTTTGTTAGGATTATTTTCAACTGGATACATTAATTTTAGTTTATACATTTACATATATACTTAAATCAGGGGTCTGCCCAAGCCAAATTTACTACCGCTTAGCGGTACCTTAACAAATTTAACTTTAAGAAAAACAGTAGTTTCACAAAATACTTTTTCTTAAAAGTTTATTATTGTGTCTCGTAAGAAATGATAAATCCATATTATTGTGTTGATTTTTTAACATAATTTTTAATTTTCACAAATTATGTCTACATTTTCACAAAATAGGTATCTCTCAGAAAAACATAGACAGACCCCTGTAAATAATAGGAGAAGAAATAAAATTTAAGATAAAAAAAAAACTACTGCTAACAGAATAAAAGTGTACAAAAAAATAAAAAATACATATATATATATTTTAATAGGTACTACAAATTTGAACTAAATATTTTAATTAAAGAAAATTTATAGGGTTTAAGCAAAAACCGAAAGTTAAATAAAAAAAAAGTTAATAAAAAAAATTATGGTACAAAATAAGATTCAATATTTATTGTGTGCTACAAATCGCAATATTAGATTTTTATATTGAGTAAATGGGAATTATGATGAACAATTTTAAATTTGAGTGAATACTAACGGTATCTTTTTAATCAGGAAAATACTAAAATCAATGCTTAATATTAAAATCGTGCGAATAAGATTCGTGATATTAGCAGATTCCTGCACTGTTCTAAATATTCAAAATGGCAAACACCAGCCAGACCAAAAGAATAAAATTGGCAGAGGAATCACATGTATGTAAATGTCTCGGTAACAGGATATTGCATAAGTTTCAAAACATCATCATAATATAATCTTTGATTCACAGAAGTCTCTTGAGACACAATACTATCAATTTTTGAGGAAAAATCACACGCCGTGCTTCTAGTTTTAAACACAGAAGAATTAAAGGAAAAACCCGGAATACAATCACCCCTGTTTTATACTATGTACCATGTGGAATCATTAATTCTTACTAAAGGAAGATTTCATTATAGGCATGTTTTAAGGATTTACAGTGGCTTGAGAGAAACATCCTAGAACAGAGCCAACTAGCATAATATAACTCATAGCCGCTCCAGGTCACAAACACTCAACACACTTGTTAAAGATTTTTGCAAGTTTAAAATCCTTTAGCACCGCGCTATTGTAGTTGGCACAAACTGAAATGGATGCAGAAACATCTTCTTTGTTAATCAAACAGATATGTTAATATTTTAAAACCCTTTTGTGAATTTTTAAAAAATGTAGCTCATCTATAATTAAAATGTTTAATGTAGATTTAGTAAAAATAAAATAAAATGCAGTTATCAATTTAAATTTTAGTGTATTTGATTTTTTTCTTTTAAGTGTAGATATTACGGTTTTTAAAATCAACCATCTTATATGATAAGTAGGTAGATACTTCATTTATCTTGTACTATGAAGCTGTAGAATGGGCTATTATTGATGGTCTGGGAAACATCCCTGACGATTAACCGAAGGGGAGAGATTTCCATATTGGGATCGGTAGCGGAATAATTGGCAAGTCTTAACAACTTCTTGACAGCGGTTTGTGAGAAACTAAAATGAAAACCTCACAGAAAGGGAACAACTTGCAACCACCCCAAGGAAACATCCACATATTGTTTGTTTTTTTTAAATTTGCAAGTTTAAAATCTATTTAGCACTTTGGCGATTGCCGTTGTCGTAACAAATCACACTACAGAAATATCTGCAATCGGAAGACAAGGCTTCAAACTTTACTCCTCTGCAGTGGAGATTGGGTAAATTTCCATACCATGATTCGTCGCGCCAACTACAATCGCCAAGGTGCCGAATAGATTTCAAACTTGAAAAAAAACATGTACATGTTGGAGATATATCTGTATTGCGATCTGCGGCAGAATTATCGTCAAGCCTTGGCAACTTTCGGGCACTGGCCCGAAAGAAACGAAAATAAAAATAAAAAACATCAGAGACAGGCACTAACTTGAAAGGTAGTTCTCGTAGCCACATCTGGGCAAATCAGGGTTGGTTTTTTGACGTCAAAAAGTGGTTTTTGACATGACAAGGGTATAATACTGGTTTAAACTNTGTCAAAATTTTCACAAAATAGGTACTTTTAAGAAAAACCTAGACAGACCCCTGATGTTGGAGATATATCTGTATTGCGATCTGCGGCAGAATTATCGCCAAGTCTTGGCAACTTTCGGACACTGGCCCGAAAGAAACGAAAATAAAAATACAAAACATCAGAGACAGGCACTAACTTGAAAGGTAGTTCTTGTAGCCACATCTGGGCAAATCAGGGTTGGGTTTTTGACATGACAAGGGTATAATACTGGTTTAAACTGTCGAAAGCTGAAGTTTGCCAAGAAAATATATAAACTTCAAAACTACCAACAGTTGCCATGCCAGTGTTTTTCTCTCAGAAAAAAAATGGGTGAGAATTTCTCACCCTTTCTCAAAAACAGGGTGAGATTTCAAAAAGTTAAGTGAGATTTCAAAAAAAAATATTAAATAAAAATCCTTTCTTTAATTATAATGCATTTTTAACATCTTCTAATTTTTAAAGCATTGAATATTGTTGCTGCATCATCATATGGAAAATATCAGCTATTCTCATTAGGTTGGTCTAATGCGTATTTGTTTCGTTTTGATCGTTTCTACCCACATTTGTTTCATTTTCATTTGTCCGTTTCGGAATCGAAGATATTGGCTTTACAAGGTATTTATCCATCTTACATTAATGTGCAAAAAATTTGAACGTCTTACATGAAGAAACCTTACCTACGGTAAACACGTGGTTGCAGAGAAATGCGTTCTGAAAGAGGTTCCGTGGTCCGGAAGGATGGTGTTCTGTTGTTCTTAAAGATTCTGAATAATACTGGTAAATAGGGAAACTAGATAATGGGACAGTTGTTGAAAATAATAAAATATCCAGGAAGAAAAGTGCAACGGATTTTATTCTAAATGGCGCAAATGAGAAATTTTTTTCAAAATGCGAGAAATTCGCGAATTTTGAAATTGGTTTATAGAATGCGNAAAATTCAGAATTACTGATTTTTCTGAAAAACTAACAACTTATCACAAAAGTCTAAGTCAAACTAAACAGAAGAACATTACAGTCACTGATCCATGAAATATTTAAACAATTATGGAAATTTTTTATTTATCCTAATTAAATACATAATTTTAAAAATTAGAACATGCATCACACTACGTAATCAAAATGAAAATTATGAAAGTAGAAATTTAATTCGAAATTCAATAGTCTAGTTCATTTGCTCCTATATTACACATTGCTCCTATATGCTCATTGGTTACCATTCAAAATATAAGTGTTTCTTCAAAATTTTAAATTTATTTTTTCTAGAACATATTTAGAAACACTATCCTTTATAAAAAATATATAAATTTTATGTATTAATTAAATGTCACATATGAATATAGGTTTTTGACATTTGTGACAGATTTGACAGTGAGGTTTTTGACGTGACGGTTTAAACCATGGTTTAAACCGTCAAAAACTGTCACATGTCAAAAACCTGCCAACCCTAGGGCAAATATCTACATGTTTTTTTTAAAAAAAATTTCAAGTTTAAAATCTGTTTGGCACTTTCGGCAATTGTAGTTGGCGAGACACATCACGATATGGAAATATTTAAGAGTAGATCCCTTTCTGTGATGTTTTTTTTTTCTTCGCAAAGACTTGGCAATTATTCTGCCAGAGACCACAATATGGAAATCTCAGCTCGAGATCTCCTTTGTGAGGCCACTTCATTAATTTAAATAAGGATCTGAAGTAACAACTTATTAAATTATTCAACAACTTATTCATAGAATGGATCAGATTTTAATGGGGGGGGGGAGGGGCACTGTACCAGCTTATAATTTAATGTTTCAAAAAGCAAATAACTTTCTTTAAAAAATAATTGATTAACTCTAATGATAAAATCTCTTAAACTTAACAGCAAATTACCTAAAAAGAATTCCAACTCACACATCATAAAACTTATCTCTTTTTAACACTAATAATCAAAATTGAGTGATACAAATATATTTATAAAAATGCGAAGAAATAAACTCACTTAATTATAACTTATTCAGAATTACGTGGTGGAACTGACGGCACGACGATTTAAATAATACTGCCACACAGAAAGACACAGACTCAAGACATAGAGGCAAGCAGCAATCAAACAGTTGTAAGAAGCTTGGGTATACACTCTCTTCATCTCTGTCGGAAAATCTTTTCCTTTATTCAAAACATCTTCGATAACTGTTTCTAAAGGCAGATCCTCAGCAAATGCTACACTGTTTACACCCAGAAATATACCCAATAAAACTAACATAATAATACCCCATACACTTAAAATGGAGCAGCATATCGACAATTTGGGACCACAAAATCTGAGAGAAACCATCTTGTACTATGACTAGAATGTAAAAAAAGCAAGAATAGTATTCTTTAATGAATAAAATACTTCTCTAATTAATAAAATAACAAACAGAATAAGTTACGTTAGTTCTGTTTTTCTTGCTTCGATCCCGTGACAATGAATGCGGATAACAGTTACATTTACGACTTTCGTAGTTTTAAATCTCTGCAACACGCTCTTGCAAGTACGGTATGTTCCTTTTATGCACTGTCTTGAATGCCAGCCGTTTTATAACCCTAAACTTTGGCAATCAGATGAAATGGGTGATTGCCAAACGAATTCTATCGCCAAGAGCTTGGATGCCCGATTTTTGAGTGTGAGAAAATGGCGGAAGCGTTTGAGTTGGAAAGATGTAACGAATACGCTAGGAAATACATATTTTTTACTACAATATTTTTATTCATGCAAAGTGATTTCTAGATACTGGACATTAGTATTGCAGCGCTTGCTGAATTAATATAAAATAGCTCTTGGTGTCGACATTTTTACTGGCTAGCATTGCATATTGCAGGTATCATTTTCATCACTTTTCTTAGCATTATTGTCGGATCTGTGTTTTTATTTAAAGCAANGCGTTGTCTTAGGAATTCTTAGTTCTATATAGCCTACGGTTTTTGCAGGCTCTGATGGTAATGATGTTTTCTCAGCTTTCAGGATATCGGTGATATATAATGATTCTAATCTATTTATGGCAGCAGAGTGATTGTTTGGATCTCTTTCTAAGCACTTTGTGTAGAAATCAGCAAGATCTTGATATCTTAGGATATTCTCATCGGCATCTTTTACAGATCTGATAGACAGATTTTTGGCTTTGAGTCTCATCGCTTCCTTCAGGGAGTCATGGTCTATAGCTGGTTTAGAGGGCACCTGGGAGGGTCGGAAAGCCTTCCCTCCGCGGCCGAATCTGTGCGTCGACATGATAGCAGGAGCTCGGTTATAACACAACCTAACTCGAACGTTGTCAGTGAGCGAATGAGATCTCTTGCAAGTAGAGTATGTTCCTTTTATGCACTGTCTTGAATGCCAGCCGTTTTATAACCCTAAACTTTGGCAATCAGATGAAATGGGGGATTGCCAAACGAATTCTATCGCCAAGAGCTTGGATGCCCGATTTTTGAGCGTGAGAAAATGGCGGAAGCGTTTGAGTTGGAAAGATGTAACGAATACGCTAGGAAATACATATTTTTTACTACAATATTTTTATTCATGCAAAGTAATTTCTAGATACTGGACATTAGTATTGCA